AAATACTTTCATACAAGAAGACTTAAAGTGTTGGCCTTTATAAGTTTACATAAATAGAGTTACCCCGGAGCAATTTTGGCCTGTATGGCATGATTGAAACATCTTTTGTAATGGACTACAAGGTGATGCTTCTTCCTAATTACCGTAGCTCATTGCATTGTGCACTGCAAGGAAAAGATTGTTAAGACATTTTATCATACAGGTCTATATGAACTAAATGAAACCAAAGACGGGAGGGACATAACTAACAATAGATATCAACTCCATTCTTTACAAATCACTATCTTTATCTCTTTTTAACCGTCTTGATCAAGTATATCTCATTGCATTGATATAGTCAATTATAAGTCAAGTAGGCTTTGTAACACCGCACTTTTGGGTCAAACGTACGTTGGTGTTGAACCCCAAACTGCAGCGAACTTTGGGGTCAAACGCACTTTGGAATCAAAATCGAGAAATTGACCACAAAGTGCGTTTATATGCTACATATCATTGCATTGTGGGTTCCAGAGCTCTGAAGGTGTCAACTGAGTTCTGGTTAAATACTGAGTATACTTAAAATTGTTTAAGGTTGAGACGTACTTACTGTCGTAGATACATAACTGTGCAATCTTACTAAGGCTTTTTAAAACCTCACTGTAGGGTTAATCGTAATATGGTGTTGAACCCCAAAGTGCAGCGAACTGTGTGGCTGTTAAAAATTGTGAATTATGTATTTAAATACAGATGTCATGAAAATATACTGTTCTGTCAGATTTACTTAATATGACGGGAAGTAATAAAATACAGTAAAATCGTCTTTTATCATCTTATTTTCCAACAGTTAAATGTTTGCTTAAATGACTGTAGCAAGTAAGTTAGAAGTAACATTCATTATAATCAAGTTGCATGAACTTTCTTTAAAGCCTATCTCACAAGTTTCGAATGTCCTAAATATTTGGACCGCATGAGATCACTAATGCAAATGTATACAATGCCGAAAATCATTTAAAAAATTAGCTTAAACCTAGTTTATATCAAACAATGAATATAACAAGTTAATTTTACAATAAATAATATACACGAATGGAAAAGGATAAGAGCTCAAAGCTATAAAGCTTATGAATGTCTACTCCTGTATATTTTTACTATGCAGTTAAATTATGACTGTATTTGTAATATTGTTTGAAACAATAAAGTTTATTTCTAACATAATCATAGTGAAACTAGCTATTGTTCAAAAGATCTTATTGTGAAGAACATAAACAAGATAAATGATGGGAAAGAGAGGGAGAGAAGTTTGAGAGAGATAAATTTGGATATGTATTTTGTGAAATTAAGCTCATTGAAATCGGTTACTTTCACGTCGAAAAAAACGCTTATTAGCGTGCGAGCGGGGCAAAGTTTTATTTATGTCATAAATCTCGCTCCGCGCCTCCGAGGGGCGAGGTTTTATTTATTAAACTTCATCCCGCGCTCCCGCTAATTAGCGTGCTTTCACTCCGTACCCCCGCCATTTTAACTTGCTAATTTTCGATAATAATAAATTAATGTAGAAATGTTATCTCCCTTTAAAATATCTTAAAAAGGGTAAAGTCTAGATTTTAATGGGTCGTCAACTTTAGTAAAGGGATCTGGATTTTAAAGTGTATGCCATGCTAAGGCCTCTATCCTTTGATATCAAAACTTGAATATTAAAAAAGAACATCATTGATTGGAAATTGCAACCCTTAGATATAACAAATTTGAATAAATTTTTATTATACTGCTATTCTTATCCGATTTAATAAGTTTCGCCTACTTCGTGCCTTATTTTAGGTTTACCGTTGGCATTAACTACAATATTTACTTAAAATTGTTACTAAAATTCATGTTGATTGATTCAATATTTGAATTGAAAGTGCGGTCGTTTGTCAGATGTTAAAAATGCATATGTACCTGTGTAACGCGCTTTAGCGTTTGACAGAGTACGTAACGCACTTTGGGGTTGGGCGTCTAAGTGCGTTTGACCTCAAAGTGCGGTATAACAGGGCTTTTATCTTGCCTTATATACTCTGTTGTCTGATTATTTCAAGTCGTATGATGTAAACCTATACGTAGCACCAATGATGTAGGTTTACACCTGTATATATAGTACGACCAGCAGAGCTTTTCAAAACGTGTCTTCTGACGTCTGTAAAAAGACACTTTTGAATAACTGTTACATGTTCCATCTACAAGGATCTGGGCACCTGAAATATACGGTATCTTGCTTGTGCCAGTTGACTCTTTTTGACATGCAATATTTTTTTCTAAAAGTCGTGTATTTTATAGATAACGTGGCATGATTTAACATTTTCAAGAGAAATTTTTGGTGCCATTCAACGTTGAATATGTCGCATGCTTCACTTTAAGTCTTGTGAGAATGAATATGTAAAAATCTTTGCGATGATTAACCTTAATTCGTGCATCTGTAGCTTATTTACAGTTTGACTATAGTGTAGGTTCTTCGAAAGAAAATGTTAAATCTCGCTACTTATCATGTAACAAGACCCAGACGTCTGACAATTCTCAGTGCTCGATGGTAAATCATGAGCCTGATAATATAGAATTTTCTAAGTTCATAAAAGGCCATATTTTTGTCAAAATTCACATAAGAGTTATGTGCCTTGAATTGTGACCACCTATCATGCTCTCAAACAAGTGTTTTGTATTGTATTCCCTTCATTAATTTTGGAAATGCCAACCTTCACGCGAATACTTAAGTGTGACGCCGACGACGCCGACGCCTGTGTGATTACAATAAGATTACTTCTTGTGGAACAAGAATGACAAAATAGCACAACAATAATTGATCTATTTAGATTGACGCGGCCAATTCAGGCAGCAACATGTGAAAAGTCAACATATTAATCAATAATCTGCTGGACTGAAAGTGAGTAGTTTTTGTCATCAGGATATTGTTGGTTACTCGACATATGTACTTTGATTTTAAATCCGATGTACTTCGATCAGAATGTCAACAATTCAAAGCTGTGAAAATCCATTACATAGTTCAGCAGATAAGACAATAAATATGGTATTTATTACCAACCGAACGAGTCATTTTTGTACGGTGGCACAAAGGTGACATGTGTGCGTTTTTATTTATCCCGTACGCACGAGATTCAATGTGGTGGCCATGAGTAGTTAAGTCGTGGGAACGAGATACTATGTCGTGGCCACGAGTTACTAAGTCGTCGCAACGAGATAATTAAGTCATGGGCACGAGATACCATACCGTGGCCGCGAGATACCATGTCGTGGCCACGAGTTAAGTCGTGGGAATTTAGTGACAAGAGTGATAAATTTAATTGCATTCTCTAATATAGATTACATAATAGACTGAAATTATAGAAAAAATCGTGTTCGTCCTTTGATATTTCAAACCATATAGTTGCCATATGATCATCATATGGCAAATATGCATAATCCAACGTTTGTTCAAAATGTTTTCCTTTTCTATTTTAGCTGAATATGATCTTCACAGGCTTTGTTCGATCGTTGGGACCTATTTTGATCGTAACAATTGCTCTTGGACATTGACTAAACGTCCTTTGTCTGCTGATTCAGAGATCATATAGGATAATTTATCGTCACACATGGCACAATTACTAGTTTGTTATCCTAAAAAGCCTGTAATTTTGATCTACCGCCGAGATATGACCAAACCATCTACAATTCTACAATGTGTACTTTTAGACTAGTATTTGTATAGAAGGCAACATATATTAGAGAATAATCAGCCGACACAAACGTACCGTCTGCTTGTACATATCTTACATTGATGAACTTTTTTGTTATATTTTCAATATAGAAAGTTGGAGAAAGTTGGACGTGTCCATGAAATACATTTAGCATTATAAGTATAAGATTAAAGGGACTTAAAGCTATCGTTTCAAAGTACAGAATTTAAGTTATATACACCTGGAAATAAGTTAAGCACACCCCGGAAATTCAAAACTGGTTGTGATCCCCAATTGTTGGCTTTTGCAAAAAAAAATATTCATGAATCTACATAATTTCGATTTCAGTGCATTTGATACAAAATTGCTTGTAAGACAATGGAAAGGTTTCTGTTTATGCGCGCACGCATGCATGCGCATATGCATGTGTGCGGCCGTATGTGTTTGTGCATACCTGTCGGCGTAATTGTGGTTCGCAATTGACTGACGAGTGCGTTTTAAAAAAATTAAGAATGACTTATGATAAAATGGGAATTCATTCAAGTTGCTGTTATGATGCACCGCATCGATATAGGATAATAGAAGGTAAATGCAGTTGTTTTCGCAGCAGCACGTAAACGTATTTAAAGCCGGAGCCCGCTGGGCGAGAGATTAAATGAGCCGCGCCATGGCAAAACCAACATAATTGGTTTGCGACCAGCATGGATCCAGACCAGCCTGCGCATCCGCGCAGTCTGATCGGGATCCATGCTGGCTGTTCGCTTACAAACCCTTTAACAAGTAGAGAAACTGATAGCGAACAGCATGGATCCTGATCAGAGTGCGCGGATGCGCAGGCTGGTCTGGATCCATGCTGGTCGCAAACCCATTGTGTTGGTTTTGTCATGGCGCGGCTCAAATAAGTCCGAGGACTAATATAGATGTTAATGCGTACAAAAAGGTGCATTCTCGCTATTCTTGCATTGAAGTAAATGTCTTCTATACTTTGTTATTACGCGTTTTTTTATAAATATTTCGTATAACACACATTTGCCATACTTTCAACCTACTTATTTGAGGCCATTTGACAGTTATGTATTGATATCGATTGCATGTAAAACAATAGGGCAGTTACTACATTAAGCAGTTTTAACTTTGCTCCTTCAGATATTAATATTAAAACCGCACAACAACGGCTAGTGGTCACGTAAATATATCCAATTATTCGTGTTTTCTTCTCCGTAAATGTTTACTTGCGTGCACAAGTTTTCGCCAAATATTTGTTTTATGCCATGTCTGGTTGCAGTAAAAATCTGGAACAAGATAAAAGGAACTTCGATCTTTTCAAATAATTTATTTGTCATTTTGCTACACACATGGTTTTGAATGGTCTAGGGCTTGAACAATCTTGACTGAGCATCCATCGTCGCCAGCAATCACTTCGCAACCCGGTGGTGGACCAAACGTCCCTGCGTGTATACCGTATCTATATCGGAGAGAACATGCATACAATAAATTGTTTAAATAAATCACCGCCAGATTCACATTGACTAGCTTACTACATAAAGTTTGTGGAGTTCTTACTCGACACAAGGTATGAATTACATCTTTGTGAATTTTTACAATTTTAACTTCGTAATTTCACGTTTTCAACATTCGGAATTCATGAAATCACGATTTTAACTTCAAGATTTTTAACTTCACGAATTCAACTTCAAGCATTCACTTCTTTTGAACTTTTGAGATTTAAGCCTCGTGAATTTATGATTTCAACTACATAAGAGTAACTAATAAAATACTTTGATGATGCTTATAAACATCAAAATTAAAACTGATACAGCTCATTGAAAGTGAAACCGATTAAATGAATGCATGTCTGCATCGCACGTATTGCAGCAACCATTGATTAGAATATCCCCTGTATTTGTTATTAGGCTTTTATCTATATGTCCACAGGCTCGTTCAAAAGGAATTATAAATTAATTATTTTGTAGTAAAGAATATCATATTGTGCTTTGAAAGTGTCCGTCCTATAATGGTACCCAAACACATGTGTTGGTGCTATTTTCTTCCATGACAATTAATTGGCTAGTTGCAGCTAGCCAGAGCCTCCAACTGACATCTCTATTCCCAGAAGCAAACTGAAACTGGCAACACTACAAAATTAAAAGTTCAATGTTCTACTGATATCAGTATCATACCTACCCGCAGCAAGACAAAACCAAGGATGAGGAATCAGTGTGGCGGGAACATGTACACTTCTCACACTTTTCTGGTAAAAGTAGCTCACTTCCGTCTAACATTGTTATGCCGTCCTTAGGCGTGCAATGAACTCCATCTGCAATAGGCGAGGAAATTATTTTAAAAGAACTACAACATTTCTGGTACTATTGCTTTAACAGCAGCGATAATAGAAAATCGTTACGTTAATACATAGTCAGGTGAGCCTATTTCGCTAGGTTTTTACTGCCCTTCCTTTTCATATTTCTCTGCACATCACCCTGTTGTAGAGAACATTCAAGCCTATCATGAAAATAATCCTTCATGGGGTGTTAGGCGAACACAAACGAAATTGTCTAACATTTGGCGTTGTTAAGGGTGACATTTGCATTGAACTGACACAGGGGCAGCTGGCGTTCTGCACACCGTATTGAGGTGACATTCAAGACAAGTTTGAAGGAAATCCTTTAGGGTGTATAGAATTTTTATAGCGGACCTGAACTTGCCTGATATTTTACTTACAATGATGACATTCACCTTAAGCCGTCATAACGGAAATATGTCCACACCGTCTTGTTGAGGTTAACATTGGAGAAAACTTTTGGAAAAATCTTTTCGAGGGTAAAGAAGGTATACAGCGGATGCAAATTTGCCTGGCATTTGTTTCCAAAGGCTGACCTTGTACTTAAGCCGACACAGCGGCGGCATGGGTTCTGAACATGTGCTTGTTATGGTGAACTTTTGAAAAAAAAGCTTGAAAAAACACATTGTAGGGTTTAGGAGTTAAGATACGACACAATGAAGTCGGATGAATCGGCCTTCGGACTGACATGGCAAAATCCAGACATGACCCGTCCACATTAAGGGTTCGGATTATGATGACACTGGGTTGAAGTAAAGGGCAACATTTTACAGCTCGACATCTGCTGTTATGATACTAAAATCTTTGCTTGGAGAGCTGGGTTGGTAATGTCATTTATCAATTTTTTGATAGAAATGCCTATAAATAGCACTTACCTTCTACTTTACGGTAACAATAACCAACCGTTACATCCAAGAAGCATACAAATAAAACACCAAGAAGCACGATCTGCATTTTGAAGGGATCTACAAATCTGTGACTCCAGTAGGTTTTTGTCTTCCGTGATATATTGTGTTATCTGTTTGTTTGAAGTTCTAAGGGTTCTTTGGTGTAAACCTATACATAGCACCAAGTACAATGGCAGATTAGGTTTACAGTTTTTTTTGCTTATTTTAATAATTTAGTTTCTTCTTAACATAAAAGTAAGCCTACTAGGAAGTTAAAGTTCGAGATCTATGACACATTCTCTGATAAAAAGGGAGCAAAATCAACGTCGTGACCGAGCACTACAGGCAGAAATAGTGGTTTGTGTCAACAAAGTTTACAACTGCGATTGTATATTCATTTGCTTATTTTAGTTCAATGAAGATCATCAAATATATACTAAGTATATTTTATATCTATATCGTGCCGTGATTCTTGTCACTTAATGATGTTCCAATCCAATGTCAAAGATGAAGCAAATCTTTAATACAATCAAAGCACAGACCTGTATAAAATATTTTTACTTGGGCCACATGAACAAAATATATAAATCACTATGTTCTAAGAAGAGTTGCTCTTATTAAATTGCATTTTATATCCAGCAAAAAAATCACTGGAGTTTAATTGGAGTAAGCACATTCGTTGGATAGTCAATCTGTTTGTAATGTTATCTTTTGTGAGTGCTTCTCCTCCTACAGTTCATGGTGGTTTTTATCGAAACAATTGTATCTTTTTTTTGTACTAGCATCGGTGTTTGTGTATGTCAAAAAAGATTTAAATTTCCCTCCTTCGTATAGAGTGTATGACATTTTGAATATTTGTTTGCAAGATCGGCTTGCATAAGCAAACTGAGTATATTTGCATGTGTGTAACGTCACAAAAAAGACTGTAATAAGGCAGCAGTCTAAGTGGAATAAACACGCAAGACTGCTAAATTTGAATAAATCTTTTCATGGCTGGCGTATTATCATTGCGTATAAAGATATGAATATTTGAAGAGCAAGCAGAGATCCCTAAGGACCAGTACACGGTATTCAAAAAAGACCTTGCTCACCGGAATGAGAAGTCATGACAACTCTCGACATAAAGTATAAAACTACATTGATGTACGGATTGCATACTTATGATATGAAATGTTAAAAGACCATTATTTTGTTTTGCACTATTTTTGCATTATCATCATTTGTCAACTTTAAACAGCACTTTTGCCCAGAGCATAAAAATTGCAACCACTTTGATAACCTAGTAAGCAGGAAGTAAAACTCAAACAAACTTAAATTTTGATATCTGAGTCTAGACATGATTGTTGTTCTAAATTTAAGATAACCTACTAGTTACAATCAATTATGAAGATTTTGTCACAAGGTAAATCTATGTATTTCTTTTTTCTTTAAAGCCTGCATTATTATTCTTTTTTCTTAGACATTTAGAATATTGTATTTTTTAAGTAATGTAAAGTTACGCAAGTGTTGACTTTAAAGAACCTAATTTAACTTTGTAGTTTCAGTATTTGTAGCAGTGACTGCCTTTTCTTATCTTCTACGGAAAACCGGTAAGTAATTATGAATGTGTCTTATTTATTATACTTGTATATCCAAATTTTGACAAACAATGAAATTAAATGTGGTGTATTTCATGTTAGCCACATGATGCCAGGGGATGGGGTGGGGGCGGTGACGGTCACTTGCACTTTCGAGTTCCGTCCATGAACAGGCTAAATCAAACTGAGCCTGCAACATTTTCAATGTTCAATTTTCAAACTTTTTCGTTCTTGTTGTTCTTTAGTGATTCCTTATCTCTCTTTTTAGTCACATGATCTTGAACCGTATGCTTTCAAGTTGGTATGTATTCTATCACACAAAAAAACTTAACGGTTGCATACCTAACTAGAGTAGTAGTAGAGCATATAACATTACCATTATATGTGATACATAGCAAAAAAGTCGAGAATTTGCCAGTTTGTTGTTTGTTTAACTTCATTGTAGCATATCAATATGTCAGCGGTAAGGACATTTCAGCTAAGCAAAACTATTATGTGTCGAGTCACGGTCAATGTTACAAGTACAAACACCCTATCCTGTATAACTGAGGGGTTGTTGGGAGTATTATTTCGTATCTTATACTCATTATCAACTCTTCTTCGACTAAATAAAAAATACATCACTTTATTCTTCCACTAAAAATACAATACAGTAAGAGAATAATCATGATAAGTATCAAATTACCTTACTTATCTTGTGACAACTGTTTCAGACTGTCTGGATTGTTTCACCTGTAATAATGTAACTGCAATACCACAATGTAAAGCTACTAGAACATGTTCGTCTGGAGAGGTGTGCAGTCTGTTTATATATTTTTTTTGTTTTACACGCATTTCCTCAAATGATCATTCAATTGCAGGGTCGTCCCAAGGAAAGGATATCGTTGAAAATTGCTGAGAGTTTTAGATATATTTGTATGACATTCATGGGGAAAGAAATTCAATTGTACTCAAATTATTTAATTGTTTTCTATACCAAATGCTTTCTACTTGGATATTTTACCACTGTGACACTTTTCATAACATGCGGTAATTACTTACATGACTTAAGTAATAATGTGAGTTTAGTTTATACAAATTTATTTTAGTTCGATTGTGTTGGAAGCTATAAGCTTATTGAAACATTCTTGAATCCGTTCCTGGAACCAATCAGTACTACGTAATGAATGTAAAGTATCTTGCTCCAGGAAACAACGGCTTGCCCCTGACAGGGTTTGAACCCACGCAATCAGCAATCCTTAGATAACTAGTCCGACGTCACGCCGCCACAATAATGTTATGATGCATGTAAACAATATAAATTAACAGCAACTGTCAGATTTAACTTTTATCATCAGTTAATTGAAAAGTTTGATAAACAAGTATTAAAAAAGTATAATTTTAACAGTTTACGATAAGTTTTTAATCTCACCGTTGTGTTGATATGTTTTTTTTTTTTTTTTTAGTTAAATCTTAAATTAAATTTTCATATCCTCATTTTATTTAGCTTATACTTGTAGGTATGTTACGCAGAACACACTCATTCGGCAACTGGTAATGTATTTTCGTTAGGATGCAGACCAGCAAAAGTAAGTTATGTCTAAATATTGTCCCGGATTTTCCAATCATGATTAATTTGATTAACAAATGCATATGTGGTATTTTCATATTTATGTTGTAAAATGTTTAATTTAATTATTCAGATTTACGCTGCCGGGTATTTATCACATTAACAAGTAAACTTAATTTATTTATCGAAATGAGTCTCCTTACAAAAAAAGTGATAAGTTGAAAATTATTTCTACACTTTTTAAACTTAGCAAACAGTGTCACAAATCATGTATTTACAAGACAAACATAGATAAATAGTATTAAGTCTGTGCTAAAAATTCCGAAAACCTTCCATTCTGTCCTTGTAATTCAACATTTTGAAAAATAAATATTTGTGGAACTGAATAAGTTAATATATTTAGATACTACTTTTCAATATGCAATGAGTCTAACATCAGCCCAAACCTGGCAATTTCAAAATGTTTTCCTGCTTTTCAAAATAAACCTTGTCAAATTTAGTGTGTTAATAAGGTTCCTTTGGTCTTCCTCTAGAAATACAAGATACGGCAACCCATGTTTTAAGAAATAACTGTTCAAGAGAATCAATTTCTGTACATTTTGAAATCATTGTGCCATAACTGACATTGCTTAGATTCAGATGTTCAGGATAATATTTAAAAATGCTTCTTTTTCTTATAAGACATACAAGTTAGTAGGTGTTAAGTGTTGTGCGGCAGCAGTAAAAGTTACACAGTATTTTACTTTAGTGTTGTTATAATTTTTCTTGTCCGTCCTTCGGCTTAATTGATTCTGATGCCACCTTATGTTGAAGATTGAGTACTGCTTAATCGGGAGCTTGGACGCATGAGGAATCTTTTGTAATGTTAAAAGATGTATATGAAGAGACTAAAACTCTGTTTACTGATAAACTAAAGTTAATATGTTGATAAAACGCTTATCATTTAAAAAAATATATATAAAATGACCAATTGTTAATAATCTGCTTAATCTGTAGATAAAAGTATCAGTATCAGTTTGTTCAGTTCATTCCACATGTAGAAGTCAATACAATAAATAACAAAAATACCTAACGCCCAGCAAGCCTAACATAACTTTGAAAATATCAAACAAAAATGAATCATTACATGGTAACAACTTATAATGCAGAGGATTTTTTGACATATTTAGATGTGTTCAAATTTAATGACAACACCAACCGCAATAACGGGGTCACTAGTGGGACGGTCTTCTCCTATCGACTCAACTTGCACGGAGTGTTGTATGGACCAAAACTGTAACAGGCAGCTGTGTCAGAGCTCCTGTAGGTGGTATATTACGTATCAAAATATGTCCAATAAATGCTTGTTTAAATACCGGTAGAAATGATTGATTTTGGCATTAAACCTAAGCAATCCATCTACTTGAAATTTTGTTTCACTTTTTATTACCTGGTGGTGTGCTGCTAAAGAATTAAAACCAGTATATATATTGAAAGTTTAGTTGTTATATATCCACTCCTTTCAAATTTTATTTCCTATATAGTTGTTTCTACAATACAGAAGAGAGAGATACTTTATAAACAATTTTAAGTCAGTTATTTTTTAAATAAGAATTTAAAATCGGTTTATTTTGATTTTTGTTAATCTAGATCCGCACTGTAAAGACATCCCAAAGGCCAATTGCGCAGTGGTTGGAGCTATGCTAAATATATGTTTGGATACACAGCATGCAAAATTTTCCTGTCGCAGATTTTGTGGATTATGTAACTTTTGTACGTCATCTTATTTTTCTTACTTTTCTTCTTTATATTTTTTACTCTAACACTTACATAAATTTCTCGTCCAACAATTTCTTTGATATATAAGTATAATTTGTATCTATCGGGAGTAATTCTGCGACTCCATGGAGCAGCTCCTTTTTTTAATATAATGTAATTGTTAGTATGCATAACTTTCAAGTATAGGTCTGTGTTCCAACAAAATTAAAAGTGACGTCCTGAGCGAGTACTTTCATTCAGACCGCTTAAATTCAATAGTGCGTAACCACTAACCACGAATGATATTTTACTTAACATGTATTATTGAAATGCTATTGGTTAAGTAGTTCATCTTTTTAATTCCATTTTATATCTATATTTATTTTTCAGTTGAGGTTGAGTGTAGGTTGACTGGTCCTTCAAACTATAAAGAAAGGGGGTCCCATTGCTCTGATGCTATGGCTATAATTATGTCATTTAGTGATACATTAAAGTATCTTTTATTATCAGCCGCCAGTCATGTTTAACATAAAAAATCAACAAAAAAGAAATGTAGAGACATAAAACAATATTATTATAATCACTTAATATTAAAACAGACGACGGCTTTTGGGCAAGTTGGATGGCATGGTCAAAGTGTGGCGTTACATGCGGAAAGGGACTCCAATCACGTTCAAGGACTTGTACAGAGCCAGCTCCTTCAGGTGGTGGGTTAGATTGTGTTGGTGATTTACACAACAATAAATCTTGTGAACTATCGCCGTGCCCTGGTAATTAATACTCCAAATAAACAAAGATTTTGTTTGACAAAAACTTGCTTGCCGCATACCTTTCTTTAATATGATATAAAGGCTAAAGATCTATTTACATTTTTAAGAATTGTAAATTCCGCAGGCAGTCAATAAGTTCATTTCTATTAATATAATTTGTTGAAGATCTTTATGCTGTCAACTGCTTTCCTTGATTATTGAGTAATATATTTGGAACATCTGTGTTTTAAATAATGAACGTGACGAACGTCCAATCTCATCTGATATTAAAAATGTGCAGTAAAATGTATTACACTGACAACAATGTAATGACTGCGATGTCATTACGTTGTAATAAAGAATTAACAATAATCAAAGAATATTTTATTACGTTATTATTTTACTAAGTTCACGGCGGATGGTCTGCTTGGACGTCTTGGGGTAGCTGTAGTGTAACCTGTGGAATTGGAATGCAAAGAAGAGACAGATCGTGCTCTAATCCTTATCCGAGCAGATTTGGAGATCATTGCTTTGGAGAATCGAGAGATGACAGGATATGTTTAACTAAAGCTTGCCGAGGTCAGTAGTGTCATCAATTATATTTACTTTTATTCATTTTTGTTTGCTATTCAGTTATTTTTTATTCCATAACGGAAGTCGCTATTACAAACTTGAATTAAACTTTGTTTGTTCAAAACAATTAAACACAATATAAGATTAAATATTAAACTTATATAAAGTTGTCTATAATATCCCGAGAAGTGAGTATTATTTTCACTGAATTTAAGTTTTAGTGTAGTTATATTTCCTGGTCCTTCGGGATCATTGAGTCCAGCACTTAAAAGTGTTGAGAATTATGTACCGCTCCTGTCGGTGCTATGGGGCATGAGGAATGTTGCACGTTTTCATAATCCCTCATGTACAGACTCAACCAAACCGAGCCTGCAATTTTCATGTAAATCTGTTTAATGCTTCCGAGGGACAACTTTTTTCCAGATATTTAAAAAAAGTAATATAAAGTTTTGCAAAACCTTATTCAGTGTCCAACAATAATATCAAAGAAGTTCGTACAATTTATGTTTAAAACGCATTTTTTGTTATTATTTATGAAGCTGCAAAATATTTCATTTATAAATATACATTCACGACTTACGCATTTACAGAGCTTAAATTAAACTGATTATTGTGAACAGGAAAATATTCAGACTATGTTCGGATAATTATAAATATGTAAAGTAGTTTTATTTATTTTTCAAATGTTTACGTATATCAGTTTTAATATTGCATTATCAGATGGTGGATGGTCATCGTGGAATGTTTGGACCAGGTGTAGTGCAACATGTGGCGACGGAATAAAAACCCGAACGCGGCTCTGTGACAACCCTTTGCCCTCATTACTTGGGAGATACTGTGTAGGGGAACCATATGAAGTGAGCTTATGTAATGATAAACATTGTTCAGGTAATCCTAATTAAATATAATTGATGTAGTCTCTAAATTGATAAACATGTTGGCAATAGTGATTTCATTTATCAATTATTTGCGTTATTCTTAATTCAAAAGATTCACGGTGGCGCTCAGCTTAAAATCACCTCACAAAAGCCCAATTGATATAATATATTTTACATACTACAAAAGCGCATTTTTATGTGATTTATGTAATAAATCTTAAAGAAATAATTTCTAGAATTACCAGCCGTTAAAATAGTACATGTAAATTACAATAAATGATTTAGATTACAGTAAGTACATGTGCAAAGCAATTTTTTATTGTAATTTATATATTTAAGGTACAAATGGGTCCTGGGGTCAGTGGACAGGTTGGTCAACATGCACTCAGAAGTGTCAACTAGGAATAACCTCTCGACATAGGAATTGCAATAATCCAGAACCTTCTAACGGAGGAAAACACTGTATTGGAAGCTCATTTCAAATAAAAAATTGCAACGAAGGTTGCTGTCAAAGTAAGAAATTTTTCATGAATTATGGCCTTTCAGAAGTAAATGGAAGAAGTCTAGCATTTGATTTATTTCTCGTTATGTAGTTGTAAATTATTTTTAAACAATACAAGGAAGCACAAACAGCATTTTGAAGTTTGAACCGCCCAGGCTTCTATACCAATAATCCGCTTTAAAATTGACCAATATCTTAAACAATTCCTCAAAATCCCACAGCTTTTAATACTATGATGTCTTCTATGATAAAATATTGATAGTACTTTTTTGATACTTAAATCCAATGTTACTTGGTATACATTGATATACATTGCATTGTATACATTTGTATTGCTACATGTAACTAAAGTTAATACAGTGTTTTTCTATTCTGTTCTGCAAGAATTATATAAATGTCTGACGTTAATCTTCTTTCTAATTCCTTGAGAGATCAAGTGTGTTCAGACAATAAAGATAGAAGGGTATTTGCATTCGATTTATTGAATGATGTATGTGTAATGAGAAATTTTACTCAAATTCAGTTACGCAGGGGAACTGGGATAACTGGTCGTCATGGGATGATTGCAATCGAAAAGGCTTATTTTCAGAGCATAGGACACAGAGTAGATACAGAATATGCACAGGAGGCGAGATTTGTTTCGGGACATCCTCAGAGACTCAAAACTGTTTGTTTTGAAAAATTACATATTCCAGATGTCAACACTCAATTACTTCCGTGACCAATTAATAATGCGTGCAGCCGCACGATTAAAAATCTAGAAAAATTCCTGATTAAATCTAAGAAACCTTACATCGTCTTATGTGAACGCACGTTGTGTCCTGTGTCATCCTAATTATGGCTCGGTTTTTCCACAAGGATTTTATTTATTATTTTGCAGTTCTTCTACTCATGACGTACCCTGTGTCACCTTACAACAACGTACATAAGCATTACGCTGCTTTAACGTGCACCTATTCTTAACCAGTACTCAACTTTGAGTTAGACCTGTCTTGAACCAGCAACTTCCCTTAGCAGTCGACTACCTGTCACTTCAACAGACTTTCCGTAACAACAATGTGAATTCCTTAGCAAACTTTGATATCCCTTAAGGTTAGCATCCAGTGACTACCATAGCAATTTTTCACACTTAAGCATTCTTTGACTTCTATAGCAACATTTGACTTCCCGTATCAACCAGCGACTTCCATAGCACCATTGACGTATCTTCGCAACAACTGATATCAACAGCAAATCTTGACTTTTCATAGCAACTAATTACTTCCTTAGCGACAACTGACTTATACAGCAACCATTGACTTTCATAATCTCATGTTATTTACTTTCCTTTACAATAAGTGGCTTTCGTAGCAACCATTGTCTTTCCATAGCAACAAAACAATCAGGGACTTTCGATTCTTTCATGCGAGGAAGCCATCGAGCTAGCATTCGGAACGTCAGTGGTTCTACTTAAGTGCACGTTCGTGCCTGAAATAATGCACGGAAGAGCACTTGAGGTCTTCCTGGACCAGTAAAGCTGGATATGATCTATACTGTGACGATGTGACACAACCGACAACTATTTACCGGTACTTCATGTTAACAAAGTTGACCTCTATAGCAACCATACATTTTCCTTAGCTACCTTTGACTTTCTTAAGAAACCAGTGACATCCCATAGCAACCAGTAACTGCTATAACAATTATTGGCTTCCTTATTAGCTACAGACTACTATAGTTACCATTGACTTTTGACAACTGACTCCAATTACAATCATTCTCTTTTCATTTCCCTTACGGTTGGGGGTTGCTTTAACGGGTAAGTGCATCAGAATTGTATCCAATGTTTAACCCTGCGTGAGCGTAAAAGGCAACTCAATGGGTTCGAATAATTGGAGTCTATGTTTCTATCAGAAACATCAGGTGAGATGGTTTAGATGACGCTTTGAAGGTTGTTACACCTGAGGTTAGACAAAATCATCTCTCCAGTTTCGTCGCAAATGACCTTAACTGTGTTGGTGCACCGTAAAACCAAACAAAAAAACTTTTCAAAGCAACCATTAACTTTCCATAGTAACCACAGGCGCTAGTCACATAATCAAATATTTTACATAATCGGTCTATATATGTATATAAAGATATAAGGCCCCCAACGAAACAAAAACATCATGCGGAACAAACAAGAACACTGCTGAAATTAACGACAAGATCACGGTTATCTCTTTCTGGTCGCCACCTGAAAGGATCAATCCAAGCGTTAAAGCTTTTTATTTCATTAAAATTCTTCAAATAGCAAAGAAATGAATAAAAGTTTCAGAAATTGCCAATATTTTCAATCCATGTCGTTTTCGACGTCCAATCTATTCATGTATACAAACACGATTTCTGGTCGATTTCTACGAAATAAATAGAAAACATCTAAAATTTCCTCATAAAATATTATATAAGGATTTGATTGGTTCAGATAATTACCGGAATACTATTGACCAATCGTATAATACTATTTCTTTGCTTCATTTACCTCTCACTTCAAATTCAAAATGGCGCACTTTACTTGACCTCCGCTTCTACAACCAATATTTTTTAAATATTTGCGTACAAAGAGGGCTCAAGGTCAATTTAGATTTCGCAGATTGATAGAAAAAGAGTTTGTTTATGAATTTTATGAGGAAATTTTAGATGTTTTCTATTTATTTCGTAGAAATCGACCAGTAATCGTGTTTGTATACATGAATAGATTGAGGTCGAAAACGACATGGATTGAAAATATTGGCATTTTCTGAAACTTTTACTCATTTCTTTGCTATTTGAAGAATTTTAATGCAAATAAAAAGCTTTAACGCTTGGATTGATCCTTTCAGATGGCGACCAGAAAGAGATAACCGTGATCTGGTCGTTTATTGCAGCAGTGTTCCTGTTTGTTCCGCATGATGTTTTTGTTTCGTTGGGGGCCTTATATCTTTATATACATATATAGACCGATTATGTAAAATATTTGATTATGTGACTAGCGCCTGTGATAGTAACTGTTGGCTTTCTTTCGCATCGGTTCCATAACTACAATTGATTTTCCTTTACAACAAGTAATTTCCATATCAGCCATTGAATATACAAAGCAAACACTACATCCATAGCAACCGATGGACAGCCATGTAGAGCAACTACTGGCTATTCACAATAGCCGGTAGCTTTCCTTACCAACGTAGACTTTAGTATCAAACATTGACCATTTTAGCAATTTGCAATTTTTGTCGGTTTCATATTAGGGAATTACGTGATTTTTATGGTTATGCTTACTGACAATATGCCGGCCTTAACTCAGTTTTCACAAACACTCATAAATTCAACTTTAAACAATATTTTTGCGGGTGAAATTCACTCATAATATGTATTTTGTAAGAAATTGTTGGAGCAATGTGGAGAAAGCAAAGAGAAAGGAGTTTAGAATTGAAAAGCAGGTAAAATTTTGATTAGCTTTTTCCTTTTCCGGCAAAAAGAGAAAAATAATATTTGGGTAACGGACATGTGTACTTGTTTTTGTTGATAACTCCAACACAATATAATATGTTCAAGCAATATCATAGACATTGATGGAATCAAAGCGAATCTTAATTAATAAAGTCAGTCTTAAACTCTCATAGACCTATGGGTAATATATTAATACTTTAAAGGGCGATTGAATAGAATCAAGCCAATGTAGATACATGTAGTAGATTTAATACTCACACGTTTATACACAACGAAATATACAAACGGATGAATAATAGCTGAAATAAAAGCACAAATTTCAGATTTAAACAGGAGGATAAGCATATTTACAGGTGTCATATTTTATGTTTTGCAGGTTTTATGAAAGGTTCCAACTTGGATGTCGTTTGCGAAATGCAAACATGCGGGCAGACATTTTGTTTATGAAACATGAAAATACACCTCGAAACAGAGCGGTAACACATGTTTAAGCTGTGAAAATGTGAAACGTACTAGGTATGGCGTTTTACTGACATTCAAATGTAAGTCCTCAAAATGTTGATACTTAGTTTTAGAAAAAAGCTCCTTCTCATAAAATATAGGTTGTTTTTTAGCTCACCTGTCACAAAGTGACAGGGTGAGCCTTTGTGATCGCTTTTCGTCCGCCGTCCGTCCGTAAACTTTTACTTTAAATGACATCTCTTCATAAACCACTATGACAATTTCATCCAAACTTCACAGGAATGTTCTTTTGGTGGTCACCTTTAAAAATTGTTCAAAGAATTTAATTCCATGCAGAACTCTGGTTGCCATGGCAACCGAAAGAAAAAACTTTAAATATCTTCTTTTAAAAAACCTTAAGAGCTAGAGCTTAGATATTTGGCATGAAACATCTTCTAGTAGTGTCTACCAACTTTATTTTAAAAAAATCCCTGGGGTCAAAACTGGCCCCACCCCAGGGGGTCATTGATTTTCCCTATATGCATATAGTAAAAACTTAAAAAAATCTTCTTTTAAAGAACTCAAAGAGCTAGAGCTAAGATATTTAGCATGAAACATGTTCTAATGGGTGTCTACCAAGTTTGTTCAAATAAAAGCTCTGGGGTCAAAATTGGCCCCGCCCCAGGGGTCATTGATTTTCCTTATATGTGTAAAGCAAAAACTTAAAAAATCTTCTTTGAAAAAACCCAAATAGCTAGAGTTTAGATATTAAGCATGAAACATCTTCTAATGGGTGTCTACCAAGTTTGTTTAAATAAAAGCCGTGGGGTCAAAATGGCCCGCCTCGGGGTCATTGATTTTTCATATAATTATGTGTATAGCAAAAACTTAGAAAATTTTCTTTGAAAAAACTCCAAATAGCTAGAGTTTAGATATTAAGCATGAAACATCTTCTAGTGTGTCTAAAAAGTTTGTTCAAATAAAAGCCCTGGGATCAAAATTGGCCAGCCCCAGGGGTGTCATTGTTTTTAACTATATGTGTACAGTAAAAACTTAAAAATCTTCTTTTAAAAAACCCAATGAGCTAGAGCTTAGATTTTTAGCATGAAACATCTTCATATGGGTGTCTACCAAGTTTGTTCAAATAAAAGGCCTTGGATAAAAATTGGCCCTGCCGGGGGGTGGGAGGGCAAACGTCATTATTTTTCATTATATGTGTGTACCCTTACCAAAATGACTTTAAGTGACTTATATGTTTCTTATATGCAACTTATACTTGACCTATAAGAGAACTATAAGTTACATATAAGTCACTTATAAATCACCGAAAAACCTGTCTAAGTCAGTTATGGTATATGCTACATATAAGTCACTTTTGGCCATTTTTTCCCCAACATATAAGTCACATACATGTCACCTATAAGTGCCTTATACTGGTGAAGTTTGAAGTAACCAGTTTCTATGTTAGATATAAGTGAAAACTTAGAACTTTTGCGAGACTTTTTATTACTGTGCAAAGCTGAAAAAATTACTAAGTACAAAAACATGAGAAAATTGGTAAAATTTATTGAAGTTGATTTGTAATTCTTTGCTTTAACACAATGGGTATCAAAATACTCAGAATTTAAAATACTATAATCTTAGACCTTAATCACAAACAATTAAGTTTTTTTTTTAAATGTTGCTTATTAATTTTTAAACACAGCTGGGGGTTTTTAAATAAGATAATAGAAAAAATGATTATCAATTAAGTATATTACCTGTAAAAAATTTTGGCACAGATTCTGTGCGGAATTTGGACAGAAATGGCATTCAATCAGTGATTTCTAGGCTACCATGGACAGAAATGAAATTCCATGTCATTTCTTTTCACAAGGAAAATATTTCACATAAAAGTCACCCAAGGCATAATTCTACTCTTGTTTTTTTTCTAACTTGAAACAGACATTGAAATCTATATGTTTTTACCTACTGTACTTCTTACAGACCTAATTTCGCTGAAGTAAGATATTCTAACAAGAAAAAGAGGTGTATTTTTTTTTAATACACAAGTGTTATTTTTAAGACATTTAGGCCTAGTGTATTTTAGATATTTAAACATTAAAAAAACAGTGCTTGAAATAAACAGTTTATATTGCCCTTTTAATCTATATAAAATCAAGGAACCAATATGCCTGAAGATTACTTATATTTTCTACATCCACTGATACACCACATAGATCAGAGGTCTGATAAAACTGGCCACCTGCCTTTGCCACCATATGTGCATGACTAATTTTTTGACTGGTCATTCCTACAAATCAGACTGTTCCATGTGATTATTTTGGGGAAAGATAACAGTTCCTATCCTGAATTTGTAAAAAATGACATTGCATTTTCTTTTTCAAAAATGTATAATGATTTTTAAACTTTACATATCTATTAGTTATTTGATTTTTTTTCACATTCAATGATTGTAAGATAGAACTGATGAGTGCTTTGATTTTTGGATTTACCCTGTTGCACATAACATTGGACCTGCCCAGGTACACAGTTGTAAGTCTGAAACATTTAGGTTAGCAAGCTGGTGGAAATCACAGAGAATCTACTTGATGTTTTAGGAAATTTAGAGATATTGTTTTGTTTAAGATGTTTAAGTATAGTTATGGTAAATAAGAATGACAAGAAGAATCACCTAGGACAAGAAGATATACAACAAAATCAGGTAAATACCTTTGAGTTACATTTATGCAGAATTGATACAGGTTATATATTAAACAATCAAAGTAAGATGGCAGCAAACTAAAATTTGTAACTTGAGAGATCAAGGCTGTTTTTATTTTAGATTTACTAATACTTGTAATTGATTTAAATCTAGATTTAATAGTCAAATTAATTGAATTATTAGAACTAAATAGTACAATCAGTAGTTTTATGCAGCTGAATAAGACAGGGTCATCATAATCATTTAACATTTTATTGTTGTTTTCAATGGAGATTTCTGATATTACATTTTACATACATTGCAGGCTAGTGGGACCAGTTCTTACTTTGAGATGCCAGGTGAATAATGATATGCAGTATTGAGCCTGAAAAGGTATGTTTTTTTAATCTCTATACTTACTGCTCTAAATCTTTTACAGAAAAGAGCATAATAAATGTTGTTGCAAATAGTGCTGTTAATCAATTCTTATAGAGACTTTTAGCAATTCTTAAACAACACTGTTGACTTCTGCACAAAAATGAGATACTGTGTAACTTAGTATATTTGTATATGCATAAGCATAAATAGCTAATATAGTTTGATGATATACAAAATATGAAATATAACTGCATTTACAATGGTCGGAATTTATTCCACATCTTTTTTAATTAATTATGAATTTTATCTTTAAAGGTGAACACAGCCACATGAAGTTCTCCGAGGAAACAGAATCAGAGCACTGAAACAGACATCAATAAAAGAAATAGTAGTTTGAATAATCAGAAACATTTGATCAAATTTATGATTTGAACAGTTCCTCACCGACAGACTTCCAGCAAAATAATTGTATAAATAAAGTGTTTGATTCCAAGAAAACCAGTAAAAAACAAAAACTTGCTGTTACAAATGAATATTGTTTTTGTTAAAGTGAATGTAAGATGATTGAACTGAAGGATATGTATGTTGAATTTTGTATTTTGCTCTTTTATATGACTATGAATATAAATTAATAAACATTTTTGAAATTAAATTACTAAACTTTTATTTTATTTCAAGCTTTTTTGACATCAAGCAACATATATGCGACTTACATGTGACTTATATGTTACTTATAAGTGACTTATATTAAGTCACTAATATGTAACATATAAGTCACTTATATGTAACATATAAGTCACTTATATGTTACTTATAAGTTGAGCATATCTTTGACTTACATGTCACATATATGTGACTTATATATAACTTATACTTCACTTATATGTCAAAATGCCAGACATATACTGCACTTACATCTAATTTGCATTTAAAATACATATACTTGACTTATAGGTGAATTGACTAAGTGAAGTATAATCTACATATAAAATAGCCTATAAGTGACTTATAAGTGCATTCCGTAAGGGTAGTAAAAACTTAACATCATAAAACATCGTCTAATGAGTGTCTTCCAAGTTTGTTCAAATAAAAGCCCTGGGGGTTTAAACTGGCCACGCTCATGGGGCCTATATACAGGTGAGCGACCTCAGGGCCCTCTTGTTTGTTTTTGCGAAATAAAAACTTAAAACTAATGATAACGTTAATATACATATAAACAAATATTAATAAAAGACAAAACAATATATTAAAGATTGATTAATTGTTGGTATTCAAATGAAGTGTGTTTATATTCTTAACCCGCAAATTTCAGTGGAACGATAAGAATGTTTCGCGCGTGTAAATGAGATTACTTAGAGTAGCATCTGAACTGGAATTCAATTTATAGAACACACATATTGTTATAGGCAAATGTGTCGCGATCTTGACACTTAAAAACGAGTAGAATACATGCAGTGCAAAGTAGCCTAATCACAATATTTCAGGGGTCCATTGTTTCACGTCTGTCAGATATACATGTACATGTATTGTATAATTACGGTTGGAATTAATTTGTACAAAACATGATATCTTACAACGCAAAATAGCATTTTGAGATACGGGACTTTTACTGGATCTTCTTGCCTGTCACAAATTTTATATTTAATATTGTCAGCATAATGGAAATACTTTCAATACGTTTTCATGAATTAACATTCTTGCATAAAACATTACGTCTGGTTTGCTAATTCCGCGTTTCGTATCAAGTAACCAGTTTCGTTATGTTGATCAATACATTTGACAGTTATGTTTTAATATTGAAATTACCGAGGCTATAATGGCAGCCAGCTATTTTTGAGTCAACAATATCAAAAACCTGCAGAGAAATGGCAATGTTACCGAGATTTTTGTCTTTTATTGCATGTTTAATTAGCCACAGGCGTGCGCAGCTTTAATCTTTCAAGTTTGGACAGACGTGAAACCAGGATCCCATAAAGCTTCTCTGTATTGCGTGTATTCTAACTGCGACGTATTGGCCTATAACAATATGTCTTTTTTACTAATTTTGAAATCCAGTTCATAGTGCTACTATAAGTATTCTTCATTTACACGTAAAAAATCTCATGATCGTTCAACTGAAATGGCCAATTCAACCATTCAACTGTTTAAATGTGACAAATTGCCTTTAAAATTATTTTTTGTGTTCATGTTTAATCAGTTTTTTTCTTAAGCAAGAAAGAAAACAACCTACAAAATATCAGAAGCAGCTTTTTACTCTAAAGAAAGTGAGTGTTCAAAGGTAAAGAACTTAAAGTTGAATGTCATTGAAATCTTAATATCTACAGTAAAAACACCATACATGAGACGTGACAGATTTGCTCGGCTTTAAAATGTTAATCACAAAATTATTAACGTCCTGTTTTAAGGTGCTTTTCTGCACGTGAATGAAATGCTTTCTCTTATTTCCTCAAACAATATCCAAGCTGCAAAACATGAAATATGACATATGTAATAATGTTTAAGCTGGAAATACAAGACCTTCAACTAATACTTGATACATTCGTTTTCCTTTCAGCGATTCATTTATCTGTATATTCATTTAGTATATTCATTTCAGTATGAAATTTGCTATCCATGGTGGCTAAGCCTTGAAGATAATCTTAACATTACTTAGAATTATATGAAAGTTTAAGACTGAATGCATTAATCAAGATTTCGATTTTATCTAATCAATATCCAGGCTTCAACTTGCAAATATATCGCTTGAACATAACATATTTAGTGGGATATATCAAGAAATCAAGTGCCAGTTTCCGTTACCCAAATCATTTTCCCTCTTTCTTGAAAAGAAAATAACCCATTAAATTTCAACATGTTTAATATTTACATTTTCGAATAAAGAAATTCTTCGATCCAATTCTCTTGCTTTCTTGACATTGTTTAATCAGTTCCTTACAAAATATAAATTTGGACAGAATGTTACCCGCAAAATAATTATACAAATTGTAAATGCCGGTTGCATTTTTGGGTGTTTGTGAAACCTATAAGTACATGGATGGAAAATAAGGTAAAAACGACAACAATTCTAAGAATAAGGGATATGATATAGAAATACCTGAAAATCCCATGTGCTGCCATATTGTCAATGAGCGTTACAATAAAATCAGGTGATTCCATACCGTTAGTTTAGTCTCGTCTGAATTAAAGACTTTGTAAAGCAACACACGATTTGGTTTCGTATTAAAGTCTTACAACATTCGCAGACCTTTTTAAGAGACCTAATACCTCGTAACTTTTACATTACTTAAGGTGACAACAGACACTTTCCGTGGTACTCACATAAATGTCATTTAAACCAAGTTATTTTAGTAATGATTGTTATTTATTTAATCTTTGTGCATTAAATGTCGTTGATCATCATAAAAAATAACATATTTGAAAAAAATTCCTTTGTAAATGATTGATTTTGAATAAAAATCCTAAAATTTTAAATCGTCATATCAAAGTCATTTTTTATTTTTTTGTCATCAAACTTTTGGAAAATAACCATACTTATATTATCTAGGGAACCGTGTCTCGATTTTTTTCTATCTTTTCTCAAAAAAATATTACGTAACGTCAAACATTTTATGCGACTTTTTTCACCATACATATTACGTAATTAAAGATAATTAAGTCGCTGATTGAGCAAACAAAAATCCCTGACACGGTTCCCTCCGTAAATGAATTTCCTTTCATGTGCTTTAAACCGCATGTTAATTGCTTGATTATTAAAAAAGTTATGCCGATTCAAAGTTGATTTTGATTTAAACATATTTTATTGCCAAAAATAAGACATATACATACATGTAGACAGTTACAATACAATGACATGACATATTTGGCAAAAGGGTTGACCCACAAGTTCTCTCAACATTAGCAACGGGTCTTTCCTGATGCAATAAATTACAATAACTTATTTTACAAGAATGACTATCAGTTAGATAGAAGTAACAAAACTCACACATATATAGTACTTGGCTTTAAAAATGATTTTAGGTAAGAAAGAACAATAAAAATGAATGGGTGTACATGTTCTCTAGCTTGAATGGTATTTAACTATGTTAACTGATTTTTATATATTTGCGTTACAATGACTTAGAAGTTAGCCCGACACGCATCAAACGAAGTGTCATAAATCGGCTGTTCTCTCTCGGACCCCTACGTTTCACGCTAAATAATTGCATAATACACAAATATCGCACCAGAGAGGATCACAAGTTGCGGTAACATACTCTAACAACATTTTATGACCCAGTGACATCTGACCAATTAAAAAGTTGCTGATTAATATCAGTTTATAGCCGAAATTTCTTCAATTTTTAACGTGATTTACTGTCCGTCTGATATCTGTCGCACATGTCACGTGACTATCGGTAAAATTTGAGGCACTCAGTGGGGGGAAATGGAACGCATTTGCGCACCGCTAGCGGGGTATTTAATTGTTTCCTTTTTGAAGTGTATTATTATTATCAGCAGCATTATTATTGTATTATACCAGTGTCCCTCTGCCTGTGTATTCGTGTATGAAATTCCGTTAAAATATAAAATAAAATAACAACAAACTGAGCTTCTGACGGTCTTTTAAAGTCCATGGTAGATGTACAAATAAGAACGGGATATTATATATTTTTTTCCACCAAATTGATTATGCTTCACATAATTTAATAGAAATAAAAGGTATTACTCGATCATTATGATCTGGCCTTCTTGACTTCTATTATCATGAATATCATCTATGCACGGCATAGAGATCCAGTTTCTACCGGGATAGACAATAAATTACATACTTTGTCCCAGATTTATTAGTACTGTGTCCGATTTACTGGCGAACAATTTATTTTCACTGAGAATATATTTTAATATCTTTTTTTTTTATTCATAGAGAAATAATCATCCTTAGACAATCTAAAATGGTTTAGAAATTTGTCAGGGACACCTTACCACAAGTCATATAGGCGTTCACATAAAAAATGTTGTCTGTTTTTGTTGTTGTTTTACTTGACATTGTTAGAAAACGAGGTTGAATGTAAAGTAAGCCCTTGCATGAATCCGTACAAAAGTCTATCAACTCAATGTAATATCTATCAGATTAACGGGACAGACAAATTATTTTCACACATTATGGATATTTTAGCAACTACATTTTTAATCAACCCCGTGGTCGTGCGATTTGCCGCTATGCTTAATTATTTATGTTTCATACATTATGTTACGTACATTGGCCGACAATTTCTTAATTTATAAAAAAGGCTAAATGTTGAGATATTCATAAAAGATGTACGGTAGTTGTACGATACATGTATTAAGAGAAGTATGGACCAGTATGGACCTGTAATTCACGGATATATGGAACTACCGATTTCCCTCATTGATGCCTCAA